GGTTCGGTAGATTTGACTAACCAGTTCTACCGAATAGGTGCGAACTGGTAGGAACCCACCTCTGTTTCCTGGGCATGGAAGTTCTGACGTGGCCTTTAACCCTGCACACCCAAGGAGAAAGGAAGGAAAGTTTAGCCCTTTAAACTCACCTCCCTTTGTCTGCTCAAAGTAAAGGAAGCAAATTCTTCCTTTGAAAGTTAATGATCTTAGCCACCTGTTAAAGCCATAGTAATGCAGTGACAGATGGGCATCTGCTGGCTGGTGATGTTGACAGTGCAAGGGGGCTGCCAAACTGAAGGGCTTCATCAATCCCTTTATTTAATATCTCCTGAGATATGAAATCAGGACACTATCACTCCACAATTATCAATTGTTATAGGACTTGGTAAGAAGAACCTAAATGAAAGAAGCCTTAGTGCTGTGATGGCCACAGGTGATGGGCCACAGGTGGCCCGCCTAGCCCTCTCTGTGGGCACATGAGCCATTGCCCACCTCAGCTCCACTGGGCAGATGGTGCATGCAGGGCCCTCCAGGAGGCTCTGGGAGGGTAGAAAATGGGCCTCCTGGAAGTTCCAGAAGTCTAGAAGCGGGCCTATTTCTGGCCTCTGAAGGGCCTCCGGAGCCCAGGGGAGGCCATTTTTGCCCTCCCGGAGGCTCAAAAAAAAAGCTTCCAGAGCCTGGGTAGGGCAAAAGCGTCCCCCACCACCCCCGTGGTGCAGGAGGCCGAGTAAGGCACACCCACCATGGCCACACCCACCCAGCAACCAGGCAGAGAACCAAGGGGGGGCATTGTGCGTGCATGTGCAGGGGGGCAGGGCACATTGCATTATGGGTGTGGGCACATATGTGTGCACTGTCACGTCGGTGCATGCCATTTCAGCACACGAGGAAAAAAAAGGTTAGCCATCACTGCCTTAGTGAATCTTGTTAGTAACCTCTCTCAACTCAGTAAAAGAAAGACAGGGAATGCCTTCTAGAGGATCGTGGCCAATTGCATTTGTTTCATACATGGAGCTTAATAACTTGACTTGACTTCAACAAGACTTTCTATAGGATTCTAAATGTTGAACTGCAACCTAACCCTCGCGGATGTTTTATATGTACAGGGCTTTGGTGCATCAAAACTCAGCTCTCTGTCCCTGGGCCAAGGCCAAGGCCCCATTGCTATGCGCATGATTGAGAAGGCAGTAAAAGAGGGAAGTTGGGTAGTTCTGCAGAACTGCCACTTGGCAACCTCATGGATGCCCACGCTGGAAAAAGTCTGTGAGGTGAGTACAAACAGAAGCTTAAACCATGATGACAACTGTTTCTTTTTTTTGGGGGGGGGGGATGCTGAGGTTCTAGGCATGGATGTTATGTAGAAAAAAGATGAGACGTAACTTGTAGGCTAATTTTGTGGGCACGGTGAGCAGAACGATGGTAAAGGAGCTAGAGCTGGATAAAAATGATGGCACTCAGATTGGGTCATAAGCAGTGGTGGGTTTCAAAAATTGTTCGAACCTACTCTGTGGGTGTGGCCACCTTTGTGGGAGTGGCTTGCTGCCCATGTGACCGGAT